AAGGATGATGATGGCAGTATACATTCTTGAGGACTGATTTTGCAGGCATGTAAAGAAACTGAGTGGTTGAAAGCTTTTAGTCTGTGATGGTGGTTCTCTGAAAAAAAAAAGCTGAATTCTACTTAAATAGCATTAATATAAAAATACAGCTTCATGTAATTTAAAAGGTCAATAATTTAGTTATTTGTTTTTACTAATAAGAGATCATTTTTAGAAGAATAGAAGGAAAAAACTTTTGTAAATAGCAAAATAGTATTTAAGAAGGGAAAAATAAGTTTTAATCACTGCCTAGGAAAAGGATTTTCTAGTTGATAACATAATGCCTAAAACAAGAAATGAGAGCTCCATGTGGCATTCTTTTTCATTTCTATTCCTTTCAGTAACAAAATAGAATCTGTTTCCCTAATGAAATTCTATTTCATTAGAATTTTTGAAGCACCTGTCACCTATCATCATCAGTTTGTAATTATTTCAAGTTTTTCCAGTGAGCAAATGTAATAATGCAGGGTCCATATGTCCACATGTCTGGGAGGAAAGATTCCACGTGGTTTTTGGATTACCTGTCTGGACTCTTTTTCCCATTTATTGCTTGGAATATGTCACCTTCTGTCAATCTAATTACTCCTCTAGGAAACGGCTGTTCTCAGCTCACAGTATGACAATCGCTGTCTTGTGAAAATCTCCCAGAAGCCTCTGTAGTTGGTAGATCTACCTCAACAGCGTCACTCTGACGTGGAAAGCTGACTTCACTATACAGGCTTACTCAAGATTTACTTATGTGCTCCGAGGAAAGAGTCTCTTTCGATACGTAACGAAAGAAGCTAGTAGGTTTAGGTCTCTTGCCTTATCTTGGACATAACGTGAATAAATCTTTTCAAACCATAGTCAGTCGGCTGAGAGACAGTATATACATCTAGGACTTCTAGCCCCCATAAAACAGTAACAACTGAAATACCTACGTTACCTGACCAGTGGCACTTGTAAAAGATCAGAGAAGCTTTCAAAGGCCAACAGCAGAGATTCTGATTTTGCTAGAAAAGGGCCTGAAGGAATAATGCTTATTTATCCATTTAGTCAGCCCTTTAGTTCATATCAACTATTCATTATTGTGAGAAAGACAGACTTGGCTGAATCTAACAGAAATTCTTTTGTTATCATTAAACAGCTGTAGATTTTTAATATAATAAAGATAAAACTGCTCTTATAGTTCCACATTCACACTATGGTATTCAAGTTTGTGCCATCACTTCCATTTTCAGAGCTTTATAATTCCACCATAATCGTTTGTTCTTGGCAGAAATGTATTATACAGGCACTCAGCTGAGGATAATATTTTTGAACAATTTTTTCGATGTTCTTTCTGGTTATGTGATTATGAGAATTTGGAACTCAGTATTAATTTGCTCTTCAGTTTTGTGTTTGTATATCTCAAAATGCTCTTTTTTAAATAACACAATTTAACTTGAATCATTACTTAGATTTGGGCGATATTCATAGCAAGATAATGCAGTCAGATACAGAAGAACGTATCGGGAGAAAATGAGCCACGTTTTTCCTTCTCATCACTGCCATTTCCTTTGTGACTTCATGTCACCTGCCTTGTTTGTTTAATAGTTTATATAACTCTTCAGGTACAAAGTGAGCTGCTGACCTAATTGTTTTTTTTTTTTTTTCATTCATAAACTGATGTGTTTTGTGGACCAATATGCATTCTAACTCTTGACTAAAATTTGACATCTACGAAAATCAGTATTTTAGTTATATTTTCCTACTTGAAATTTCCCCTCAGCCTAATTTTTTTAAATTTCTAGTTCATTTATTTCAGTGTCCAATTTACTACTATAGTTAGATGAGTGAGAGAGATCAAGTCTGCACCCATCACTTCACAAGTGTGAGAAAACAGGCAGGGGAAGGGTGGGCTCCACACTGTCTCCAGACAGGAGGCAAATAGTCATCGCCTGACTTTGGGCCATCGTGCTTGGCCATGTGGGTTTGACACCTGGCATAGGTTTACTGAAACTCTTCATGGAAGACTTGTGAGAGATAATGGGTTAATATTTGTGGAGATCTTTCAACAAAGTGTAATTGATGTTTGAATTTTTATAAACCAAACACAATGTCTACCCCCTGAAAGCTTTGTGAGAATATTTAGCACACATGTATGTGCCAGATGGATTGTAATGACAGTTGATAGGCCTCTCCTAACCCTTGCGTTCTGTTGTCAGAAATCTGCATATCAAAACAACCATAATTTTTACAATAAGATTTATTGGTTAAAAGATTTGGATGCATACTGAAAAATCTACTGCCGAAATAAGACTATAAATTAACTGTATGGAAGACTTTAAATTAAAGACTTCTGTAAGAAAATTCTTGGCAGGGTGCCATAGTTCATGCCTGCAATCTCAGCATTTGGGGAAGCTGAGGCAGGAGCATTGCTTGAGTCCAGGAGGTCGAGAGCAGCCTGGACCACATATTAAGACTCTAATTCTACAAAAATAATTTTTAACCCAGTGTGCTGGTGCACAGCAGTAGTCCCAGCTGCCCAGGAGGCTGAGGTGGAAGGATTGCTTGAGCCTAAGACATGGCGGTTGCAGTAAGCTATGATCATGCCACACTGCATTCCAACCTGGGCAGCAGAGTGAGACTCTGTCTCTAAAAAAGAAAAAAAAAAAAGAAAGAAAGAATATTTTTAGCATGCCTTTTAAAAATATAGGCAGATAACTTTTGAAAAACATCAAATAATATTTTCTTGATCTTACCTATTTTTCTCTATACAAGTGAATTCTTCTGAAAAATATGTGGAATATAATGCAGAGCACTCAGAAAGTATTCTTAAAAGCTCAAAGATATGCAGAGATCAAAGCAGAAACAAACATCATAATATAACAGTTATCAGCCAAAAGAATGTTCTTGTGGTTGAGATAATAACTAATGCGTATGAGGCACAGGAAGTTAAGTTAGTAAATAAAATTTTTATTCTAATGTATTGTGATATTCTTCATTATTGTAGAAAATTTCTAAGAGTGCTTATGATGAGTGAAAAATGATGCCTGAAGATCCATGATAAGGGGACAGGTGGCCCCACCAATTATAAATTCCCCAAGATTGTAAATGTATATTTTATCATACTGTGTCAAAATATTCATTTTAATATTCAAACATTTTACCACATAATAAACTGTAACCATATGTTTATTTGTTATATTATACCACTATAACATTAATAAATATTTACAGAGCCACTGTGTATCCTAGATATATTAGAAATGATAGCTTTCTTGATTTTTTAAGTGAAAACATTCAGTGCCTCAAAAACTAATTTTAAATAATGTTACATTTGTTACACATTGATAAGAGCCAAGGAGTTTAGATTTTTAAGACTGACACCCCCTTTTTAACTCATGTTGTTTTATTTATTTTCCCCAATTGCATGAATTAAAGATGGGGTGTTATCTCAGCTTTGAATTCCTTAGCTTGATGTCACAGCTTTTGCTTTATTTGTATGTGAATTCTGTCTTTAATAAAGATGAGCTCTGCTGAACTTTCCATTAATGAGAGACACTTAGGTATGCATCTCTTTATAACAGATCTTGGTGGTACCAGGAAAATTCAGAAATGTTGCTAGTCTATTAATAATTAACATGGCAAGCTGTATGATTAATCAGAAGTTTTATGATCTCTAGAAACATAACATTATTTCTGTAAATCGAATTGTATACAACTAAGTTGACAACCATCAGTTTAAAAAAAAAAAAAAGGCAGGCCAGGGTGTGGTGGCTGAGCCTGCAATCCCAGCACTTTGGAAGGCTGAGGCTCTCCATGAGGTCAGCAGTTAGAGACCAATCTGGCCAACATGGAGAAACCCCGACTCTACTAAATATACAAAAATTAGCGGGGCATGGTGATGTACCTCTGTAATCCCAGCCATTCGGGAAGCCGAGGCAGGAGAATCGCTTGAACCCAGGAGGTGGAGGTTGTAGTGAGCCAGTCACTCCACTGTACTCCAGCGTGGGTGACAGAGTGAGATTCTGTCTCAAATTTTAAAAACCAAGTAAAACTTGGGACTCCTAACTCATACTTTTTCTGTTACAATGTTACATTAGTATTTATTATTCTGTGACAGCTGAGACTAGACCAGACTCACATCCAGGAGACAGGAGGTTCCAGATGAGGCACGGACTTTTTACTTTCACGTGTCAGTCTCAGGGTGATTCCTACTCAGCTGAGAAACCAGGAGATACCCTTCCTAGTTTGGTAGTTAATGACTTGATTACCTGTTTTTGGTGTTCTTCATCTTCCTTACTCAGCTCAGCTGTTTTCACTTTTCTTTCCACCTATGTGTAGGAAGAGAACTTCTCAGTATTATAAATTTTGATAAGATTTTCACATAATGAGAACCCTAACAAACAAAAGTAGTTCTTTCCATAAGCACAATGTCTGAGCTTTCTCACCGATGCTTGTTAGGAATATTAACTGGGTTCTCTTATACCCTTTAGCTGTCAAGTACATCAGAAGTGGGGGTTGTGGGGGCAGACACCACTAATGCCAACCATTAGTTTAAATTCACACTTGGATCTCTTTCCAGCGTTTCTGCTTCTGTCTTCATCACAGGTTTGGAAATCATGTAATGTCCTGATTTCTAATTTTTCTGTGGGAAGAGAGTGTTGCAATTTGCCACCTTAATTGTTTTCTGCTGTAATTGCCTCTCACTAGATATTTGAAGCATACATGAATTCTGTGTTATGAAACTTTCATCCTTATACCCTCTGTTCATTGACTGAATTTAGTTCCAAAAGGAATCCTTCCCTTTTATTTTTTTAAACTGCTGATGAGCGCTCGATTAACATGACTCAGTTTCTAACTGTGGTTTCTCTTCTTTAGTAGAATAAAGCATGTGTAATTCCCTGAAATAATGGACAGCTTGAACTTCTTTAATGCTCCTGAATGTCTCTTACAGCCTTTGTCTAGGTTTGAACTTTGCAAATTATGTATTTCAGACGTTGAGAAAGAAGGGCCTTAATGGCTGTGACAGCCCAGACCCCGATGCGGACGATTCAGTAGGTCACAGCCCTGAGTCTGAGGACAAGTACAGGAAAATTAATGAAGATATTGATCTAATGATCAGCAGGCAAAGATTGTGTGTAAGTACTCGGAACACCCTTCATTTTTTTTACTCTTGATATTTCTCTGAACCTGGCAGGCATTGAACAAGAAAGAAAACAAAGGCTGTGAAAGCCCCGATCCCGACTCCTCTTATGCACTCACCCCACGCACTGAAGAAAAATACAAAAAAATTAATGAAGAATTTGATAATATGATCAAGAGTCATAAAATTCCTGTAAGTACCAAAGGTAGATGGCTGGTCTGCTGATAACTGCTGCAGTAACATACCTTAACCCTCTCAGTGATGGCTTTCTCTAAGACTCTTCGGAAAGTCAAACAGATAAAATAGCCATCTATCCCGTGGGCAGCTCACTTAGAAAGCAAACCCTAAAGGATGCTGAAATTATGTAATCTAACAGAGTTGCCATCGACAAGTTCATTCTGAGGTAGAACAGTTCACAGGAGGAAGAGAAAGATTTATGAGCCACACCCTGGATTTACACAATCTTTTAAACACACAGTCCATGCAAATCACAATGCATGAGGAAAACACTGGAATCTCCTTCCAAACAAGTTTGAAGATTGCTATAAAATACACAGATTATATATTGTTTGCTGAGAGCAGATACACAAGTGGATCGGCAGTTCTTTCATGTAAACTGACAATCATCACCTACATACAAGCTGATTTCTAAATAAAACTTTAGCCCCTCTCCCTGTACATGAAATTCAACAACAGCACTGAAGGGTTAAAGCTAATGCTCGCTGCAGGGAACAGACTGCATGAAACCTAATGGTAAGATTTCAACATGTTTGTGTGCTGGGGTGATGTTAAAGCTTTATCAGAATATTATCTGCTTTGCCACCAACATTTTCCATGCTTTAACATTTGGCTAATTTTTGTTTTAACCAAATGAAAAACATTCTAACAGTCAGTCATATGCCTTGCCAGACATTTAAGAGAAATAACTGCATGTATTATTTTGTTGTCCACATACATAGGATGAAAGTATATACTTTAGGTTCTGTCATCAATCAAATAATGTTAATGTTGTGGCATAAAGGGATGAAACCTAAGGTTCACATGCCTTCTGAATAACTAATGTTAGTGTCTGAACCCTATAATTGTATACAAGTTCCTTGATAGGTAATCAATTCCTTTTTTAAAAAGTTTCGTTTTTTGTAAGTTAGCAAAACAGCCTAAACCTGAGGAATTAGAGACTGAGGTGAGAATATGTTTTGGTGATTACAAGTGCAGATATTTGGAGACAAAGCCTGAGGCCAAATTCACAACTGCACTCACAAGATAAATTAATATTTACCATAGTAGCTGCACACTCAAACCTGTATTAAATTTAATTGAACATTTTAAAACTTATTTTCAAAATGTGTGCATATTAAAATTTCTGTCCTCATAGATATCTATCTGCTTCTTTGCCGAATGAAATAACGTCAGCAGTAGAACTTTTGTTGAATCAGAATGACTAATACACTGTATCATGAAGGAAAGCTAAGTGCTGTAAATTCGTAAGGGTTTCATAAAACTGAGTAGTATATGCACACATTCACAGTGGATACTTTATAAAATGAAGTACTTAGTATCATATGCAGCCATGCATCTTTGTTATGTCCAGAATTCTTAAATGATAAAATATCCATTGGGGTTTTATTCTGCCCAGAAGAAGGAAAGAAAGCAGCTCCTTTGGGCCAATTTTTAGTTCTTACGGTCTGAGTTTCTCTTGCTATATAATACACTGGTGTGAGCAGCTGTGCACTAAGGTGTGTGAATGTAGGATGTTAATGCAGAACAGCTTCGGCATGTCAGATAGTAAGAATCGCCTACTTAGTTGGAATAAAGACAGATGTATACAGTACTGGTCATCATTCAGGGGAGGCAATCATAAATATAGGTGGAGTTTTAACCCCTAACGTTCTGGGGAAATGCACATTGGATCATTTTTCTCATACTTTAGGGAGAGAGACATGCAATACATACCTAGATTCCCTCACAGGCTTTCAGGCTTTCAGTCTGTGATGTAAAAAGGTCATAATCAAGATAGTGATTCCTTAAGGGGTGCAGTGCTCTGTGGCAGGGGCTGAAAAACCACATAGAACAGAGCTGTGAGAAGGAGCCACCCAGCTCCAAGCCCTGCCGCAGAATCTCCATCTCTTTAGTAAGGGCTTCAGTCTCCACGATGAAAAGCCCAGTTTTTGTACATCACTCTCAGCTGCTGGAAGTCAGTTTTGCTGAAAGTTTCCACAGCTGCTAAAACATTTACCGTAGGGCAAGGACACTTTGCCCTTTGTATGTAGAGAGTGTCTCCACCTCTTTAAAAACATTACAAGGCTGTTTTTTTAGTTCGAAGACCCAGTTTGAAGAGTTTTCCTTTTAAAATAGAAAATTTAATGTTGCAGTCACCTGTTGGTATATATAATTTATGCCCATATTCCTCAATTACATGAAATAATTCATGGTTGATTTGGAACTGTGTCGACCAGCATTTCCTCATGCTGGGTTTGCCATGGTTCACGCTGGGCTTCACAGTAAGAAAAAAAACACCTCCATCTGAGGAACCAGCAGAAGTCAGGAAAGGGGCTGAATGAATGAGAGGAGGGTGCAAATTGGTTGAGAGTAAAAGGAAAGGGAGGAAGTGGAAAGAAACAGTATATGTATTCTTCAAAATAGTGGGCTGTGAAGAAAGAGAAATAATGCCGTATGTAGGATCAAAAGAGGAATTAAAATGAAAGCGCTTGAGATTATTTACATGCAGAGAAGTGCTTGGAGGAAGGAAAAGATTGAACATGGAGGTACAACAGAGATAAAATGGCAAGGCTTCTGGAGAAAGCGGGGGAGGGATGGGACCTAAACAAGACGGAGTTACAGATGGAGCCAGGTGTAGCTAAGGCGGTAGGCAGGTAGAATGATGCTGAGTGGGTGACCGTATAATGACCTCTATTTTATTTTTATTTTTTGAGATGGGGGTCTCTCCCTGTGCCTCAGGTTGGAGTGCAGTGGAGTGATCTGATCCTGGCTCACCTCAACCTCCGCCTCCCAGGTTCAAGCAATTATCCTGCCTTAGCCTCCCAAGTAGCTGGGACTACAGATGCTCATTACCAGTCCTGGCTAATTTTTGTATTTTTAGTAAAGATAATTTCACCATGTTGGACAGGCTAGTCTCAAACTCCTGACCTCAAGTGATCTGCCTGCCTTGGCCTCCCAAAGTGCTGGGATTACAGGCGTGAGCCATCACGCCCACCTTCTATATACAAATTTAGTTTGGCTTCTGTAGTTATTGGGGAAGGGGACAGCAGGTGCTTGAAAGATGACTGAGAAGTTAGACACGGTGAGGAATAGGGGATGGAGAGGGAATGAACAAGTCCATGATAGAATTGTCTGGCAGCCTTGAGGACACTTAGATAAGCAGCAATTGGTACTTATGAATCATCAGAGTTGTGTGATTTTTTTTTTCCTCTGCTAGGGCCCAGCAGCTGGTAGTGGTTGGTCAAAATTTAAAGGTGTCATTAGTGGCAAAAGAAGAGTTGGCGGGGTGGGGGGGGGGGGCGGAGATTCAGTTCAATCATTCACATTAAATAAAAGAAAGCCCATTAACTAAAAGTATTTTACTTAAACTGCTTTGATTTTTTTTATTGGATTTTTTCTTGTGGCAGGTTAGGGAAAACAGTGGGATTTGGATAAGAGTTCAGATACTTTTCCGATCATGACTCACTACAGTAACCATGATCACTTTGTTCAGGGATAGAAACTAAAAGATTTTAGCTGTCACGTCTGTGTCTTTCAACGCTGGGACCGGCTTCATCGGCCCTCAATCTGGCCCTGATCTCATAGGGCTGCACTTGGTTAAATACTCTGCTGGCATTGTTTCGAAGTTCTTAATACTTCTTAAAGAAGGACCCCCACATTTTCGCTGTGCACTGGGCCCTGAAAATTACATAGCCATTTCTGCTTACAGCATTTTATTTAATCACCCCAAATTCTCTTTCTTCCTATCTTGTGTGTTTTTAAAAGCTGGAGCGTGGCCCTGAAATCTTTGCAAGTTTAGTGTTTTTAACTACTTTTTGGCTTTCATTTTTTAGACAAAAATAATGTTTAAACGTAAATGCTTTCAAGTTGTCTAATTTTGAAAAGTCAAGGAGAAAAAGAATAATGCCAATTTCTTAGAACTGTTTATATGTGATTATAGCATTTGCATTCCCTAAAATGTTTAGAGCAGCTTCGTCTCTTCATGGATACACCATTTCATGCCTCAGATAAGGAAATCAAGGTCAACGAAGATTAAATGACCTGCCTGGTTAAATGGCAATTTATTACATAACCTGGACTGTAACTGAGATTTCTGATAAAAGGGCAGTGTTCGTTCTGATTCTCTAAAATATCATCTCGGCATACTCATTTTTAAGCTTATAATTTGCTTTCAAAATTATTATAGATAGTTCCTTTAACTCAGAAACAGAAAATCAAATGCCACATGTTCTCACTTAGAAGTAGGAGCTAAACAATGGGCACACACAGACCTAAAGATGGAAACAATAGATACTGGGGACTCCAAAAGCAGGGAAGGTAGTGAGGTGGGGTGAAGTTTGAAAAACTACCTCTTGGGCACAATGTTCAGTATTTGGGGAATCCAGTCCCCAGCAGTATGCAATATACCCATGTAACAAACATGCACATGTACCCTTGAATCTAAAATAAAATTTTAAAAAATTAGTATAGGCAATTCTGGATATTGATAAGGAAACAAAGCAAAAGATAAACAGAATATAAATGATGTTGGCATATTTTATGAATTTTGGAGTATAATCTGATATTTTAATTATATCTGACTGCTTAGCCAATCACAAATGAGTTTTATAATAATCATTATCATCACTGTTTATGATCCAGAATTCTAGAAACTGAAGAATTAATTCTTGGGGATAACAGTCAGAGGAAGGAAGGAGTAGAATGACTTTCACTGAACTGGTTGTTAGGACAGTTGAGAACTCATTGCATAATTATTAGTAATCCTCTTTATTTTGGAAGTGCATGTAATCACCCAAGGGTGAGCGGGATGTAGGCTTTGCTCTCTAATGAAACACAACCAACATTCTTTAGCATATTCGTGGGAGATGTAGTTTTACAGCAGATCCTTAGATACCTAGTAACAGTTAAATAAACATTTATAAGTAGTAACAGTGAATTCAAATTAAAACATTTGTAGTCCAAAGGCGGCTTTAAAATACCAACTCTAAGTAAATATGGAAGAAGGGAGTCTTTAAGATTTATTTTTTCCTAAAACCTTAGATACTCCAGTGTAGGTGCTTACCCACAATTCATCAGAACAGATTTAGTTTATTGTTTACATGGTCCACAGATTGTGAGCTTCTAATATCTAGCCCTTATTCACTGCACAAAATGATTTCTGACTACAGTATTTTATTTCTATCCAAAAACTTATACTGTGTTGTATAGGGATTTGGTAGCAAAAGCAACAGAATCAGTCACTAGTTAGATGGCCTTGGGCCGCTTACTTAATCTCACCAATTTGAAAGGGAAGAATTATATCTATAGTCAAGGGATGTTTAAAGGGTTAAATCATAACATGTATGTCAATTATACAGCACAATATACTGCTCAACAAATAAGATACAATAAATAGCTTCACTTTTGTATTAGTACTTGTCTTCCTAAAAATTCTCCTTCGAAGAAAAATATTAAGTTCATGTAATAAGAAGTAGAGTAGGCTCTGCACTGCCTCATAGCAAACAGGCATTATTTAACCAACATCATAAATAATTTTATAACCAACGGGGAAAAGATCAGGAGAAAGAGATCAGGATACGGGCAAGGGGCAGGACACATTGCAGGATTAAATAGGGTTGTCAGGGTGGGCTTCCAAGAGAAGGCCAGATTTTGAGCAGAGACCTAAAGGAGGTGATGCAGTTCACCATGGAAATGAGGCAGGGTGGCAGAAGCTGTTAGATGAGATGAGGAGGCTGGCAGAAGCTCGAACTTTATAGGGCCTGTGGACCATTGGAAGGAAAAAAACTCTCATCTTGCGTTTTGACTCTAAGATGAGAGTTCTCACAGGGTTTTGAGCAGAGGAGTGTTGGCATGCCTTAAGGTTTTAAAGCGTCAGCCTGATTTCTGGGTCGAAAATACAAAGGAAGGCAAGGACAGGAGCAGGTAAATCTGTTAAGGTGGTGATTGCCGTGATGTAGGCAAGATATGGCACTGCTTGAGCCACGGTGGTCACCACACCCTGCAGTCACTGTGGTACCCAAAGAGAGTCCAACAGATTTCCAAACTGCACCCTAAAAAGGCAGTCCCACCCCTATAGAGTACCGCTGTTCTAGATCTAGAGTTACTATTACAGCACAAGGTTGCCACAGGAAGCAGATGGCAAACTCTAACAGGTAACTGAGGAGAGTTTGTTAAAAGGACTGTTTACAGATGGGTAGAGTTAAGGGAAACCAGAGAGAATAATGAAGTACGTTAGAGCTTGCAACCTAGAAGCTGTTCCCATCTCTAGGCCTAAAGGGGAGTAACTGGAGGGGAAACTTACCAGAGCACAGCAAGATCTATGTGTGTAGGGGAGAGCAACTCAAAAAGAGACGGGGCCTTTGCTAGAGGAATGCAGCCTCAGCCAGCCTGTGGCCCAGCAAGGACGATGCCACTAGAGAAAAATACCCTGACCTTGCTCCCCTCCTGCTCTCTGTGCTGTTGCTGGTTCCTCCTCCACTGGCAGTAGGAAGCCAGAGGGCAAGGAGAGCCTGGTTGATGCAGTCTGGAGGGTCAGCTCCTGGGCACACAACAGAGTGAAGGGGATAGAGAGTGGGTCTGGATGGAGCAAATGCAGATATACCTAGTACAATCACTTTACTTTGTTTTCTTGGGTATGCTAGAGCAATCTTTTTTGGCCTTTTAATGAAGAAATGCAGTATTTTATTCATGCTGTAGAGTTTGACTTCACAGCATACACTAATTTTTTGTTGTTAAAAGGGGGCTGGAAATGCAAGGCTATATTCATTATTTGATGTCTTATCAAACATTTATATTCCTTTATGTCATGATGTCTATCCAAAAATTATTTCCCCTGTTTACAGTAGATAAAGCCTAATAAAGAATGACCATATTACTTACATCACCTGAACACTTTTATTTCCCTCTAAAACAATGCAAAATTGGGCCAGGTGTGATGGCTCATGCCTGTAATCCCAGTACTTCGGGAAGCCAAGGCAGGCAGATCACCTGAGCTCAGGAGTTCAAGAACAGCCTGGCCAACATGGCAAAACCCCATCTTTACTAAAAATACAAAAAATTAGCCGGGCGTGGTGGTGCGTGGCTATAGTCCCAGCTACTCGGGCTGAGGCAGGAGAATTGCTTGAACCCAGGAGGCAGAGGTTGCACTGAGTGGAGCTGGCGCCACTGCACTCCAGCCTGGGTGACGGAGAGAGACTCTGTCTAAAAACAACAACAATAATAATGACAAAATAAATATAACATAAAATAAAATAAAACAATGAAAATCAAAGACGTGAAAGAAAAGAGTTTTTAATGTAAAGCATTTATTGTTGTCAGTATTGACATGTCCAGAACATGGAAGAAAAGGAAAATGGGAAATAAAGAATAAGGGAGCATAAACGTAAACAGAGAAAAGTATTGTGATCATCACCAAGATAAACAGAGAAGTATTACGTAGCAAGATGTATGATGCAGGCCAGCCAACCAAACAGTAACAGAAAGTGGATGTTAGCGCTAAGGGAAAGCAATAGTAAAAACAAAATGAAACAACCACAACCACAACAACAACAACAATAACAACAAACAAACATCTGAGCCTCATGCACATATGCATTTAAATTTGCACAATGACTAATTGAGAACCACCAAGGGAATGCCTTAATGCCTTCTATAAATCCTATTCTCTCTCTCTCTCTCTCTCTCTCTCTCTCTATCTATCTATCTATATATATATGTATATATATATACACACACACACATATATATGTGTGTGTCCATTTTATATTAAGAATGCCATATGCTCTGAGACCATATGAGTTCTCTGGCATTTATATTCAATGAGTATTTTTACTTGTAATGCTTAAAATAAAAAAGCAGTAGTTACAACTATGTTCCTATGTCCATCTAGTTAGTATAGCAGAAAGATAAACATGATTATGCTTAAATTGACAAAATAATTACCCAAAAATAAATAATTGAAATCTGGATTAATCTAATTAGACATCTACACAGCTTCAGTTCACTAAATAGTTGCCAACTTCCACAACTGAGATACAGGTCTTGCCATTTGTCAGTGGAGATACATACTGAAATATGAAACATAATGTTTTCTGAACTATCACTTTAAAATGTGAATTATTGAATGATACATGCTCTGTTGAATCCTGTATCTTAAAATGCCTATTATCTTTAGAGTTACTTTTAAAAGAAAGACTTTTAAAAATAGTAATTAAGGTATATGTGCTATTCACATGCTTCGAGATGATTTTCTATCATTAAACTTCTACATAAATATGCTTCAATAAGCAATTAAATCAAAGGCTTCAGTTTGCATTTTAATCCTTTTTCTCTGCGAAGTCATCACAATCATGCACCTTTGATCCTGCAGTCATTTCTGGCACTAGATTCGGATATCACAAATGAATAATTACTACTTAATAGAATGGAATCCAAAGACAATGGAGTCTACTGAAATGGGGCTTTGTTTTAAACGAAAGTGAAACGTTTTTTAATGGTTGCAAAGAAAGAGTTCTAAGCACATTTAAGAAATCCATTTATGACCTGAACATCTTGAGAACTCTTCTTAAGGGTCTTCTAGACACCACGCAGTGTGGAATGTAGAATTTTTCTTGGAAAAATAAGGGCTGTCTTGAAGAGTTTCTGTCATTAATTCTTTTCTTTTACCTACTTTTTTTTTTTTTTTTTTTTTTTTTTTTTTTTTTTGCCTGTTCCTGCAGGCTGTTCCACCTCCCAACTTCGAGATGCCAGTCTCCATCCCAGTGTCCAGCCACAACAGTTTGGTGTACAGCAACCCTGTCAGCTCACTGGGAAACCCCAACCTTTTGCCACTGGCTCACCCTTCTCTGCAGAGGAATAGTATGTCTCCTGGTGTAACACATCGACCTCCAAGTGCAGGTAACACAGGTATGTCCTCGGAAGGATGGTGCATTAACAAATCATTGGAAGGAACCACTTTCCGCAAAAGCTACGACTGCTTTATCTATGAGAATGTTTTCTGGTCTTCTGCTTACTCTCCTTCATGGCTAACCACCCACCCCAGAGCTAGGTCTCCTGCATGATAGAGCCTAAACTCTTCAGCATGTCTTTCAAAATCTTTCATAATCTATCATTTTTCTTTTTCATTCTGTCTCTTATCTGCTCCTGTGGTTGTATTTTAACCACATACTCTCAAACAGGACGTCAGATATCCTCTCTCCACACTTTTACTTACGCTTGTTCCCTGCCTAAAATGCCATTTTCCCTCTTCCTCCTGGCAAGCTATCACTTCTTGAAATCTTCCCCTGTGTTCTCTGATAGCATTTATCCCATTTAGTTATTTATTATTTGGGTCAATTTTTATTTATTTTACAGTAACTTATCCCATAAAGGACTTAAGGCAGAAAGGAAACATGATAAGATAGCATCATTTGTAAGACATGTGAAATAAAAACAAAGCTGAGTCAGAAATGAAGTTAATTAAATACATGTACACCTGCCACAAATTTGTCTCTGCACTTTTACTTGCTGTTGTTCAATTCACAGTGTCCAAGAGAAAATAAATTATTGCTCAGAAAAAGTTCATCCATTCTTAGTACTTAGATCAATCAAAACACATTATGATGAATTGTATTGAATATGGGTCTATTTCGCCACTGGTTTTAAAGAACATCGAAGGGAAGAACGTTCTCTTGATTTGCTGGACTCACAGTAGGAACCAAGCCAATGCATATTGAATATAACAAAGCCATTCCTTTATATTTCCAGAAGCAGTATCAAAAATAATTGTATTTCTAAGTCACATACAGTAAACCATTATATATTTGCATCTCATACTTTAAAAAGTACTCCATAGGAAATTTTTAATATATCTTACATACACATAGCTCTATGAAAAGTAGTTTATTCATGGAGGAATTTTCCTGAAGAATATTTATATATCTGCCTTACAATTAGAACCAAACATGTATTACTTTTTTTTTTATTACAGAAGCTTTATACAGAAAATACAATTAAATTCAGCCAAATAAAAAATCTTAATAAATCTTGAGTCTGGGATTGTGCCATTCTCTTGACTTTTGAATATATTTGAAATTTTTTATATGATTTTCAATAACCACATGTATTCCTTTCAGATCATACTCAAATGCAGTTCACTTTCCTATCTGATAAACTCAGACTCATTTTTTAAAAAATCTGATACTTTATTTCCAAAATATTATCTGATTGGAAATAATAAACAAATAATAAACACTTGCTTAAACTGTCATGAAGGCCAGATGCAGTGGGTCACACAGTGTAATCTCAACACTTCAGGAGGCTGAGGTGGGAGAACTGCTTCAGCCCAGGACTTCAAGACCAGCCTGGGCAACACAGAGAGACCCCATCTCAAGGAATTTTTTTTTTTTAATTAACTGGTTATGGTGGCTTGTATCTGTGGTTCTGGCTACTCAGGAGGCTGGAGTGGGAGGACCACTTGAGCTTGGGAAGTTGAGGCTGCAGTGAGCTGTAACCCTGCCACTCTGCCACTACACTCCAGCCTGGGCAACAGAGCAAGCTGTGTCTCAAGAAAAAAAAAAAGTTTAATGAACATTTTCTTTTAATTCCAAAACCTGAACCAACTAATAATTAGAGAGTATCACTTAGAAAAATTAGAAAATCTAGATAATAGTCTCACTATTATTCTTTTGGCTGAATCTTGCTTTTTTCAAAACTAAAATTAATTTATATATTCAATATCTTCAACATTGAAATCTCTTGATTCTCATAAATAAACATTGCCAAATTTTAACATACTTTCTTAAGTTAGCCATGAATAAAGCATATGTTTCTTAATTTGTGGCCAGTGAGAAATTTGTTTTATTGTGTCAATCAATAAGATTTGAGTAGGATATGTGGGTAGATTCATGAAACTATCAAATTTCTGGACGATTAACATTGCACAAAATTTATGGTATAAAACTTATTTACAAAGAACTAAACATCAAATGTGAGGTCATCTGAGCATATCATAGACCTACTCTTTCTTTTGCTTTCTATAAAACATCTGCTTAGGGAAAACCTAGACTTAATAAAAATGCAGAGACCATTCAAAGACTGGATTTTTTTTAAATGTAACTTTCTTAGAAAAAAGATTCTGCAAAATGTCAGTGATTGAATGTATTTTTAACGTTTGAGCACAGCATGGCACAATAAAACAAATGTCAGCAGTCTGACTTGGGTCGTACTTTACAAGTTTATGACTATTGCAAGAGGACAAAATACTGAGGTTGCTAAAGGTAAAGTGTTTTGTTCTGTGAGCCTTTAGCCTTTCTCCTTTTGATCTCCCTCTTTAATCCGTAGGTGGTCTGATGGGTGGAGACCTCACCTCTGGTGCAGGCACCAGTGCAGGTAAGCGCAGACTCCGCGCTGCAGTATGTGTCATTGTTCTGAGTTCTACTACTAGGTGATTTGCAGGACAGTCTTTTGAGCAAATAAAGTTGAGAGGTCTGTGAGAGGCATGAAAAAATGACCCCAAGAATTTTTAAAGCACTTTTCTGAAGAAGGAGTAGTTAAATAGTAACTTGGAAGAAAACTATTTATTAACTAGAACCTTCCTTAATGAAACTTCAACTGGTCAGCAGAGAATGAAGGACTCTGATCAAATCAACTTAATCCTGGGTACCATCCTTGGACACAGGAGTACCTTTAGCAAGCCATACTTTTTGTGTTCTCTGTTAATCATTTCACATTAAATGTGAATCATTTCCCACCCAAAGAAGTACTGAAGTTCTGTGCATTTCTAAAGGAGAGTACTTAAAGAAAAGGATGGATTAAGATTATAATCATCCAACAATACTATAAATAAAATAAAATCACATTGGCATTAAAATGAGCTCTTAGAGAACATGGATATAATGCATACCAAAAAAGACCCTAAAGAAACCATAAAAGACCCTAAAGACCCATAGCTAAGAACTTCTTACACTATGAACAATAATTGTCTCAGTCACATTTCTCCAGGTTTCTGTGTTAATTCATAATATTGAGATTATTGAGATATTGATGTCATTTTCAATGCAGAGGCAAGATAGCACAATACTTTTAAATGCCAACTGCAGTTCACTATTGGCATAACAAGTAACCATGGTAATTTCTGCAGCTGGAACATGCTATACATTTAAAATAGTAGGAGGCAGGCATGAATGACACAAGGTTATGTTTGAAATGTCAAAAAAAAATTCAAGTTTATTGAAATAGCCATGGATAGCCTAATTAAAATATTTTGCCAGGGTCAAGTATAATAACCTGCTAATTATAAGAAAGAAGATAAAGAAAATTGGTATACAAATACATTTTTATAAATATGTCTGTTTGCGGGTAGAGTTTCTCTCTTCTGATGCTGGCTCTTCACTAATTCAATGAGTAATGAAGAAAAAGTATTAGACCTACAGAGTGATTAGCAAACAGGATGAATACCACTAGCTTCCTATTTTATGTGTCTTTTAAAAAGTAGGTCGAGGCAGATTAATGAGTAGTATTTTGCTGGACAAGGAAATGAAATTTTTTTCCCCTCAAAAAATACTTTGTGGTTTGTAGCCTCAAAATTTAGAGAACCAGACCAAATCCAGACCAGTATTTCTTGGATTCAAGTATCTGCCAAACACTATGGTTAGAAAGAATAGTGAAGACAGAGAATTGGGGGGGTCACAAAGACCAAGACATAATATAAGAAAAATGGTTGAGATGTTATGATGTTTTACCCAATATCTCACTGCACCAGTTTGCTAGTGGTTCTGAAAGTCATTAAAAGTAGTAAAACAAAAATTGTGGAGGAAAACATGGCCTACTCAGCTTTGATGGAAGTGGCTTGTTACTGCTTAATAGCTAGAATGCTTTAGAGTCCTCTATTGAAAATAAAAAGCATTCGGTTGTTCAATTATGCTGTCATTGTCAATTCCCAGACAGTTGGCCAAGTTTAATGATCCCCTAGGGATAGAGAAGACTCTCAATCCTGTAGGCATAAAAGTTTGCCACATGCAGGATATAGTGTCATTGAACTAACAAAGTCTTATGCACTTAGCAGATTCATCCTCTTACCTCGGGACCTCTGCCGTAGGCATGAGAATCTTCTAGAGGAAAACGAAAAGAAAGACACTGAATTGCTCCACCCTGGTGATAATAAATATTATATCTTGATTGTAATTTATGGCTATGAGCATGTAGTTTTCACAGTTTCTGTATAGCTGTGAAAGTGTTACCCATATTTTAAAAATAGAGGAAGAAGCCCTTTCTAACTCCGGTCCCAAGGAACACCTGTTGCAGATGCCACTTAGTCTCAAGCTTAGCTGTCATGCCCTGCTCGTAAACAGCCATCTTCCCCTTCTTTCTCCTGCCAGCCAGTATCATATGTCAGGCTGAATATATCTGTGCTTATGTCAGAGAATCACATAACACCAGGGGAAAACAAGGCCAGCCAGAATGTTGCCACATTTTCAGAAAAGAAAACCAAAGCAAAAAGGCCAAAATATAGCTTCCAAATTTTGCATATTTTCATTGAAATTCAAGGTTTCAGATAAAGTTTGAAACTCTTGAGGCCAAGTGGCGAGACTGCAATTAAGTTAAATAATTTTTAGCATTTGCATTTTTCAAAATCAAGTCATCTCACTTTGTGAAAAAAAAAAGTGGGGATAAGGAATAATCTCATGAGGGAAGAAAGTAAATTGAACATTTATTATGTGCCTCTAAATACTAAAAGACGAAAAAGGTAAGCATGCTCTTTTGCAGCTCAGTTTGATCATAAAATGTAGTGTCTTTCCCATTCAGTGCCTGAGCCATCCTTTTCTCATCATCCCATCATCCAGTAAGTTTCTAGAACCTCTAATTCACCTCCCTGCTTTATATTGCATCCTGCTCAGTCTGCCCAGGACTGCTTGTTCTCTCATAAAACCTTAAGCTAGGCCAGGCATGGTGGCTCACGCCCATAATCCCAGCACTTTGGGAGGCCGAGGTGGGTGGATCACAAGGTCAAGAGATTGAAACCACCTTAGTCAACATGGTGAAACTCCGTCTCTACTAAAAATACAAAAATTAGCTGGGCATAGTGGCACATGCCTGTAGTCCCAGCTACTCGGGAGGCTGAGACAGGAGAATTGCTTGAACCCAGGAGGCAAAGGTTGCGGTGAGCCGAGATCGCGCCATTGCACTCTAGCCTGGGTAATAGGAGCGAAACTCGGTCTCAAAAAAAAAAAAAAAAAACAAAAAAACCTTAAGCTAACTGTAGGTCATCATTCACATGCCAAAAATCCAGCCCTGGCTTCTCTTTCAGAATTAACTGTGAATCTCTTATGTCTAGGCCCATTCCTATTCTCCAGCCTTAACCTTCTTCCCTTCTACCACTGCCATCAAGAGCCCGGCACTCCAACTTTATTAACAGCAAACATTTAAATTACTCTTACTGTGCACTCTACAAAAAATATCATTCTCGCGCCGGGCGCGGTGGCTCAAGCCTGTAATCCCAGCACTTTGGGAGGCCGAGGCGGGTGGATCACGAGGTCAAGAGATCGAGACTATCCTGGTCAACATGGTGAAACCCCATCTCTACTAAAAAGTGCAAAAAATTAGCTGGGCATGGTGGCACGTGCCTGTAATCCCAGCTACTCAGGAGGCTGAGGCAGGAGAATTGCCTGAGCCCAGGAGGCGGAGGTTGCGGTGAGCCGAGATAGCGCCATTGCACTCCAGCCTGAGTAACAAGGGCGAAACTCCATCTCAAAAAAAAAAAAAAAAAAAAATCATTCTCATAATAGTCCTTTAAAGCAATTGTTCACATTCTGCCCTTTCTACAGATTGGGAAACTGAGGCACAGGGAAATTAAACAATTGCCCAAGGAGGAACACGGGCTGTCAGGTTCCTCTGTGTGTGTGTGTGTGTGTGTGTGTGTGTGTGTATGTGTGTGTGTGTTGAGACAGTGTCTTGCTCTGTCACCAGGCTAGAGTGCAGTGGCATGATCTTGGCTCACTGCAGCCTGAAACTCCTGGTCTCAAGCAATCTTCCTGCCTCAGCCTACTGAGTAGTTGGACCACAGGCATGCACCACCACGTCTGCCTAATTCAAAAAATTTTTTTTTCCTTATATAGATGGGGTCTTGCTATGGTTTTCAGGCTGGTCTCAAACTCCTGAATTCAAGCAATCCTCTCTCCTCGGCTTTCCAAAGTACTGGAATTGCAGGTGTGAGCCTCTGGACCCAGTCTGAGAGTGGGTGCTCTTAACTGCTGCACTGTGCCACCACTTGGAAGTGTCATGGTCATTTGCTCTTATCCATGCAATCCTAGTACTCCTTTCCTTCTCCTGCTTTGTGCTACTGACCACTCTATCATCCCTCAGAATTCAGTTCAGCCAACTGAGAAAAGCCTTTCCTGACTCGAACAGAGAAGTTATGCACCTCTTTCCTGTGCTAACATAGCAGCCTGTACCAACATGCCACTTCTGATTGCATTACGATTGCAACGTCTGGGCACAGCTCTCTAGGACACTCAGCTCTGTGGAGGCAAACTGTATCTTATTCAGTTTGTATTCCCAGTTTAACACATAAGTGTTAGCACACGACAGATACTTGGTAAATGTTTGTTAGCTGAGTAAGGGAAAAATGGATCTTCTAGCCACCAAGTTTTAATAGTGTTGATGTAAACCAGAAAAAACATTTCAAAGAAATTAGGTAATTTTCAATACAAAAAGATAGACCCTTGATCTGTAACTCACAAAAATAATGTATTCTTCTGAAACAGTATACAATGAATGTTTAATTAATTATTTGATTAAATGGCTGACTACCCTGAGCCAATAAAGCAAAGTTTCACTAACTCTCTTGTATTCTTAATGGAAAACCTGAAGAGCTGATATACAGCAGTAAATGAAATATGTGTTGGTATCTCAGACCATCACAAATCACCTCTTAAAACAATGAACCTCTTATCATCACTTCACTTGAAATACTTTCAAAGATGAAGGCAAAAGGTAATAATGAAGTAGCAAGATAGGGTTGTACTTTTGGTAGAAGGGAAATATACAGCAAATAATCATAATACATTAGTAACCATAACATTTCTCGGTTTCAGTTGATGGTTATTCATCGACTACTTAGTCCTTTACTCTCAACAACCTAAATGAAAAGTCACTGTTTTTAAAATTACATTTTGTCACAATTCTGAACATTAAAGCTTTTTTTTTTGAGACAGAGTCTCGCTCTGTCTCCCGGGCTGGAGCGCAGTGGTGCAATCTCAGCTTTCTGCATCCTCTGCCTCCTGGGTTCAAGCAATTCTCCTGCCTCAGCCTCCCAAGTAGCTGGGACAACAGGTGCACACCACCACACCTGGCTAATTTTTTGTATTTTAGTAGAGACAGGGTTTCACCGT